CAAGCAAAACCTGATTGTGTGGGCCAGAGTTGGGCCAGAGAAATTTTGCTATGTGGGCTGTAAGACGTAATAAGACACACTCTGGCACAGACGTCCAGTCTACATGCTGAAATACACGCTATGGTCTCATGACCGTGACGCAGCTTCAAAAATTCGTTTCAAACCGGAAGTACGAATTTGCTTGAAATAACGCAAAAACAACCAATTTACACTTTTTAGTGAAATATAGGTGTCCTAATAGTGTTTTTAGCAGTGTGGGACACATATACGACTGTCAACAGCTCAAAAAATGTGTTTTGGTGTTTCGTGACCCTTTAAGCATTGGTTTGACATTCCCCAACAGCTGATTAAATGGCTGTCATGATCAAATTTTCCCCCTATAAAGTTCTGGCAGAGTCAGAAGATTTTAAGATCGATGACAAACAACTAGCACCAACAAAACCCAACTGTGTCGTTGCCTCGCATTGGCTCACATCTGGTCCTGTCTAGACCAAAAAGCTGCTCATGAACACACCAAATGATAGAAATTGGCTGAAACAAGAACCACGCTCTCCACCTGCACAACAGAATGTGTCTTTCTGCACCACTGGGGGCAGCAATCTGTTTTCTCGTTCAGCCCAGCATAAACAAAGACAAGGGCTGCGTCCGAAACTGCCTACTACTCAGTAGGTACTGCATTTAAATATAAACGTACTATTCGGCCGTTAGAAATATACGTTCTATACAATATGAACATGAAAAGTATGAATGGAATTCGGACGTACTACATCGCAATTTTGTCATGGTCACGTGACCTGCCTGCGTCAATTGCGTTGCTTTACTCCCATTCATGAATTCGCTCGCGGGGCATCATGGGATAGCGCAGCATGCATGGGATGCGCACTCTAGAATCTCGCCGGAGGTAGTAAGTCATCCGGGTACTTCTCGCATACTGTTTTTCGAATTCTATGAATTCGGACATACTACTCGGCTCGCATACTGATTTTAGCGTACTATATAGTATGGAAGTATGCGGTTTTGGACGCAGCCAAGGTGTAACAAAACAGCATTTAGTACCACTAAATCAAATTAATTGGCACTTAACACAGCGGGCATTCGCTCATGCAAATATGTCTGATAATCTAATAATCCATGTTGTTTGCAAATATTTGATAAATTACAGCTTTTTTATATGTTCCTTCTGGGCTTGAGGTGCTTTCTTGCTACATCACTTTACTATGTCACACTCATGCTCTGGGGTGCGTTTCCCAAAACCATTGATAGCCAACTAAGGTCGCAAGTTCCTTCGTCACAAACATAGTTCATTGATTTGCCGTTTCCCAAATCCATCATTCCAAAGAATATTCGCAAAACTGCATCGCAAACTTGCGCACTTGCAACTACACCTCTAGAGCAGTTAGAAACCTAGTTCCAGGCTGTGTTCTATTGCCAGTTATCCCCCCTATGCCCTATTCATACAGAACATTCTAACATTTAAATAAAAAGCATTAAAGTCATCACTCTTAGGTGTAATTTGCTTTCAAATAATTTTACAGTTCAGTGTTAGTGATCTTCATGTTCACAAGTGTGCCCCCTTTGCAGTGCACTTTGAAAACATTGATGTCATTTTGAACACAGCCTCATAACGAAAGCTATAGGTGACCTATTATTAAAAGCGGAATTTATGTTACGTCTCAAAGCTTGTGAAAACATGTGCACGTGTCAAATTGTAAAAGTAGACTTTTCAAAAAATAAAAAATAAATAAACAATATCCTACTTAATAATAATAATTAAATATTAATAATAATAATAATAATAATTAAATGATAATAATAATAATAATAATAACACTAATCATCATCATCATTATTAATATTATTATTATTATAAAAAAATTTCATATAAATAATAAATATTACATTTCCTTTTATAATAAATCGCCTCATTATTTATTTATTTATATGATTTATATATGAGATTAGAATACGTATTAGCTTTTGTAAAATATTTTATGTTTTAGAATAGAATATGTAATATTCTTAATAATATTTGTAAAGGAAACACAGGCTCTATATGTGCCATTTACATATATTTCAATAAATATGCAAAACAAGCGCATCCGCTGCAATCGAGTTTCAAGTTCTCTCACCGCTGTTGTTTTATGAGTGTTTACTTTTGTTATTAAGAGAAAAGGGTGCCACATATTTACATATTCATCTAACATCTCCCAGCACCTGAGTGGGTGGTGTCAGGATGTTCACTAACATGATTCCACTCCTCTGCCTATTTGTCTTTTGTCCTAAATCACGAATGAATAAAAGCTTACCTGAGAATATTGGGGCCTTTACAAGACAAATAAAACACTTTATAATACCCCAGTGTAATTATAGATCGATAAATATCAGTACTGAAATATTTAAAATGATACAATCTTGCTTTTGGTTAGTATCAATGCTGACTTTACACTCAACAGAAGGCAGATGAATAAATAATAGAAATATTAAGATTTTAACAGTTTTGTTTTAATCAGAAAATAAGATGAGATTGTACTAATTTATTTTTTTTTTAATTAAGGACTGCTGACATACTTGAAATAAGCATTCTATCCCTTTTTACTTCATTTGCATACTTATAATGTTGCGGAATTTGTTCCCCACAGTATCGAAAATGGTATCGAATATCAATATTTTTTAAGGTATCGTATCAAAGACATTTCAATATCTTTGCAACACTACTCAAGTGAATGACGATTTGTGTACAACAGAAATATCAGGGCCTTCATGCTTTTTTCCACCAAGCTTATTAAATAATAGTCTTCTATGCGAAACTTGGGAATGTCACATCAGTGTCGCTAATCAGAAGGCCTACATAGAATCAGCGCGCGTAGAAATCCGCAGATTTCCGCAGATTTTTAGCCAACCATTGAGTCTATTTATTTACTTGTGTAAATGTGTGTAAATTTATTTTTATTCAGTTGTTTTGAAATTAATTTCTGTAATATTATTGACTAATATGAAACTGTTCATATGATTTAATAACAATAAAGTTTGTAAAGTAATATTTTCAGTTTTTTAGTAGATCTATTATATGAGAAACTTGCTTTGTTTACCTAAAAAGTGGATCTAATTGGATTTGCATGGTAAACAGTAAATAAAAGTTAAAAATATATTATTTTTAATTTAGTAATTTAGTAAAATAGTAAGTTTTTTGTTATGATACTCTCAAAATTTTGTTTAAGATACTCCTAGATTTTTTTACAAAATTCTCCCAAATTTTGTACAGTTTTTACAATTTTTACAAAATTCTCCCAAAATTTTGTTATAATACTCCTAGATTTTTTTTTACAAAATTCTCCCAAATTTTGTACATTTTTTTTATTTTTTTTACAAAATTCTCCCAAAATTTTTTTGTTATGATACTCCCAGATTTTTTTTACAAAATTCTCCCAAATTTAGTAATTTTCTTTACAAAATTCTCCCAAAATTTTATTTACGATACTCCCATATTTTTTTTTTACAAAATTCTCCCAAAATTTATACATTTTTTTACAAAATTCTCCTAAAATTTTGTTATGATACTTGACAGATTTTTTTTTTTACAAAATTCTCCACAGAAACAGCAAAATACGTCCGCAGATTCTGTCATGATCAGTACTCAATCATAGCAGTAATTTCTAAATAAGCCTGCAAGACAATATTTTCTATCACTCCTTTAAATACCAATGATTTTTCTTGCAGTTGTTTGAACATGTTGCTATTTATCAGCCTGTCCTTGACTGTAAAGTCTCAGCTTTTCCACACAACACACACAGTCTTCACCTTGAACCTCACTCGAACTGTGTTTGATGTGTGTTTGTTCATATGAGAGAGTGAGTGTATTAGCATAATGACTAGCCCTACATAAACTGCAGGACTAATTTGTCAGTACATTCACATTACAGCCTTACATCTTTCTACAAAATTCCGAAAGCTGCACACGACTCAGTATTTTATCGCAACACTGATCTGATGCCCAGTTTTAAAGATTATTGTGACATCTCTTCATACTGTATGACAAATATACTCAAGTCAACATTTACCATTAATATTGATGTCAACATTACAATGAGGAAAACATCATACATACTTTAAAAGCATGTCGTTCAGTGCAACACAATACTGTACAATCCTGAAAATTTAAAGAGGATATAGAAGAAGTCAATCTTAACCATTTAGCAATAAAAAGCACCACCTCAATGCGAGGATAAGCATATCCCACTAAATACCTTCTTGGCACCTCCAACGCTCCAAAAAAAAAAAAAGTTTTATTTACACAAATTACCAGAGGAGTGTTTGTAAATACCATCCTCCCAGTCACTGTCCAATTAGCCTAGCATGTAGCCTACTTTAATGAATGTGCTTTCACACTTCAGTCAAACTTATTAGCCTACAACAAACCAGCCATTTTGTGCACCCCAGCGTGAGAATAAATAACCCAAAACATGCAGGAGAAGTCGTCGAGCAGTTCAGGAACAGTATATTATAGGCTGGGCTGGTCTAGCTGTCAATCACAGCAGGATAACGGTAAAGCTCAGCATCCCCATCTCACACAAGCTACCTGTAAACCTGCACAAACTACATCCTTCAGCTACATCATGTCTGATTTGTCCGATTACTATCAATTTATCTTCAGTATAGTGTGCTTATTCTTTCTCTTTTTTTAGTTTAGTATAAATAACACACTTAAACCAAACCATGACTAAATCAATGACACATGATTTTAATGTTAAGAACGAAGGGAAATACTAATTACACTAAATAATGTTTAACGCAATGAATCAAATGCCGATTTCAATTAAGCAGTATTGTAAATAAATTGAATAAATTCCGGAATTTGGAATTTATGAAAAGAATAATTAACTATAGCAACATGTAAACATCATAAAGACAGTGTTAAATATAAAAGAAAGTGCTCCAATAATCATAAATGTGACTCTGGGTTTGTAGAAATCCCTGTCTCTCCATCTCTCCTCGCATCGTACCTGTTTTGAAGAATGCATCCGTGTCCGAATCATTGGGTCCGTCCTCCGGCGCTTCAGCAGAATTCATGTTTTCCTCTTGTATCTCACAGCTCAAAATAACAAGAAATATATCCAAATTCAGCGCTCCATCATCTCAGTGTGTCTGTTTTTGACGGCACAGCCCTCAGTCAGCGCGACAAAGCACAGCTCTGCATTGCCTTCTATTGTCTCCAGATGCGCCTCTCCTCCTCAGATCGCTCCTTTCACTTCTTGTGAGTCGATTCTTTTGAACCGACTCGCTTATCGATTCTTAGATCCGTCTTGTGTTGTTCGGTCTGTTCAACATGATCCTCAAAGCTGTAATTTAGAATTATTTAATCGAAAGTAGACTAGTCTGGCGTGTGGATGTTGACGCCTGACCGTGTGACGTGAAAACGTTGATTAATTTTGGGACCGCCTCATTGAAATGAACCGTTCGAAGGAACCGATTCTTGAAAACCACTCGCTCCAGTTTAAACAAAGCGGCGCGCAGCCCGTGTGTGTAGATGAGGTGAAGAAGTGTCAGTGAAAGCTGATGTCATTGATCCTGCATGATGTCAGTAGGCTTTTTGGTCGCTTTCCTCGCGTATTTATATTTTCAATGAGAAATACTTAGTTTACATACTTATTGAAATGGCGTCCTGAAGAGCAGAGATTGTGTTTATGGTTGTGGAGTGTGTTTTCCCTTAACAATAGAGCAGAAGGGAAACGCGCGCGCGTGTGAGTGGGTGTGGGCCCTCCCACTGTGATATCACGCCCCCTTCTAGTCTTGGGCTGTTGGAAAACCCTTTGACATAAATTAGCATAATAAATAGAAAGCACGTGTGCAACAATATCCACAAATTCAAGATGAATACAAATTAAACTAAAATAGGTTGAATAAATAAACATTTAAAATAAAACGAAATCTTTAGAAATAATAATGTAGAAAATAATTATGTAGATAATAATGATAATATATTTTACAAATTTTTAGTATTATAATAATATAATTAAAAGAAATAATTTTTAATCTGTAAATAATTTTAATTAACACAAAGTGTGTGTGTGTGTGTATATATATATAGTCAGAATTATTAGCCCCCTTTTGATTTTGTTTTTCTTTTTTAAATATTTCCCAAATTATGTTTAACAGAGGAAGGACATTTTAACAGTATGTCTGATAATATTTTAAGTCTTATTTGCTTCATTTTGGCTAGAATAAAAGCAGTTTTTAATTTTTAAACACCATTTTAAGATCAAAATTAAGCTATTTTTTTCAATAGTCTACAGAACAAACCGTCATTATACAATAACTTGCCCAATTATCCTGCCTAGTTAACCTAATTAACCCAGTTAAGCCTTTAAATGTAACTTTAAACTGTATAGAACTATCATCTAGTAAAGTATTATGTACTGTCATCATGGCAAAAATAAAATAAACCAGTTATTAGAAATGAGTTATTAAAACTTTTATGTTAACAAATGTGTTGAAATAATCTTATAATTATATATATATATATATATATATATATATATATATATATATATATATATATATATATATATATATATATATATATATATATATATATATATATATATATATAAAGTATACAAGTGTATCCCTATATAACTGTTATATTATTTATATTGGATTATTATTATTACTAATATAATATTTACTAATAAATTAAGATACTTATAAATCAACAGAGTGATGCTCTACGTGAAAATTAAACCAAAAAATTTAACTGAATAACTAGGATGTACCGCCCCCTGGTGAAAGCAAGTTAATATTACAGTTGACATAAATCCAGGCTTACTTTGCTGGACTTCTGAAAGACAGATTTAGTTTTAGCTCTCTTTGTAAAGACACATAAAACTACTTTCTAATTACAGCAACTGCAATAAAGCATTTATTATAGCATATCATTTTCATTTATTATAATATTAACGATCTGCAATACAGTCATGACAAGGCCAAGTGGAACTAAACAGATCAAATCATCCATTCAATATACTTTCAGCCAAATTTCATCCAAATATATAAAAGAGGTTTTACAATAATGGCGTGCATGTACATCAGTGTATCCTGTATCTGATCAAGACCGAAATAACAACCCAGTGTGATTACTCAGCAAATCACTCCGCTTCCAGTTCTTCCTGTTATCATGGACACTTTTGGCAGTGTATCCTTTATAGTGCATGTGTGTGTGCGCGCGTAAATCATTCTTTCTCTCCATCTCTCCCCCTCGCTCTGTGTGTATGTGTGTGTGTGCTTGTGCCATGAGGTCTGTAGTTAGCTGACTCCTAGTGGGCACAATACCAGCTTCCTCCAGCCACCCTACAGGCCTCTGCAACAAACACTCAGCAGATGGTTAAGCTTTTTTACACAAGAATTACACAACCAGGTCATACTTGGAGGACTACACACTTAAAGCACTGTTTTTTTTTCCAGCAATGGCATAGAAATCTTAAATAGAATCTGAAAATTACCTTTTTTTAAATTGAATTGAACATTTTGTGGAGTGGAAAGGTTCCATACACACTCATTCACACACTTATACACTGGAAAATACAATCCAATTCACTTATACTGCATGCTTTTGGACTGGAACAAACTTGAGCATTCACAGGAAACCCACAGCAACATGGGGAGAACTTGTAAACTCCACACAGAATTGCAAACTGGCCTGGCCTGGACTCAAACCAGCAACCTTCTTGTTGTGAGGAGACAGTACTAACCACTGAGCCACTGTGCCGCTTCCTCGAAACACAATGAAACTTCAATTCAAATTTTAATAATAACAAAAATAATAGTAATAAAAATTAGAGTCCAAGAAATTTTGGTGAAATAGAAGTTATGCAAAAGAAAATAGCAAAAGATTTAGTGAGAGTGAGATGCTAATGGGCTAATGCGATTCAATGATGTAAGCTAAGCTAAGCAAATAGTGCAGACCCAGAAATTGGCTGAATAGATTCACAAATGGTAAACCTCAACTCTAGGGGAGGTGTAAAATGAAAAAGTTTAAAATAAATAAATAAATAAATAATTTAAATATTGGAATGTTCCTTTAATACTACCATTAATCAAGCAAACAAATACACATAATAAGAACAGGAAACTGAGGCTTTAATTCACACAGGCTCACCAAAATCAGACAATAGAAGATTAGAAAAACGTTGCCTGATTTGATGAGTCTCAATTTCTGCTGCGACATTCAGATGGTAGAGGTCTGAATTTAGGGTCAACAACATGAAAGCATGAATCCATCCTGTCTTGTATCAGCGGTTCAGGCTGGTGGTGGTGTAATGGTGTGGGGGATATTTTCTTTGCACACTTTGGGCCCCCATTAGAACCAATTGAGCATCGTGTCAACGCCACAGCCTACCTGATATTGTTGCTGACCATGTCCATCCCTTTATGACCACAGTGTACCCATCTTCCGATGGCTACTTCCAGCAGGATAAACGGGCCATGCCATAAAGTGCGAATCATCTCAGACTGGTTTCTTGAACATGACAATGAGTTCACTGTACTCAAATGACCTCCACAGTCACCAGATGTCAAACCAATTGAGCACCCTTGGGATGTGGTGAAACAGGAGTGTCGGATCATGGATGTGCAGCCGACAAATCTGCAGAAACTGCGTGATGCTATCATGTCAATATGGACAAAATTTCTGAGCAATATTTCCAGTATCTTGTTGAATCTATGCCACAAGGGATTAACCTCTTAAAGTCAAGTGCTATTTTAGGGTTACCGCCTGGATTTTTTTATCCGTTTATTCATTCATTCATTCATTTACTAAGATTAGTCTCTTTATTAATCAGTGGTCGCCACAGCTGAATGAACAGCCAACTTATCCAACATATGTTTTACACAGCAGATGGCCTTCCAGCTGCAACCCATCTCTGGAAAAACATCCATACACACTCATTCACTCACACACACACACACACACACAACAGACAATTTAGCTTATTTAATTCACCTATAGAGCATGTGTTTGTGGGGGAAACCGGAGCACTCAGAGGAAACCCACACAAACGCAGGGAGAACATGCAAACTTCACACAGAAACGGCAACTGACCCAGCCGAGGCTCGAACCAGCGACCTTCTTGCTGTGAGGCGACAGCACTACCTACTGCGCCACTACGTCGGGTAAATAATAGTTGTTAGTGCTTATCAACTAGCCTTCTTCCGCTTTGGTTTTCTTTAGTGTAGTTTTCATGCTGTAAAACTCCAGTAAACCTTAAGGTTAAAATGAACGCTCTGACGCACATCTGTTCACTGGGGAGAGATAAGCTGCGCTGAACAGAAGCAACGACATGTTTATGGTCAGGTGTTGAAGAATGGACCGTACCAAATCGTTCCCCAGGTGACTTCATTGTTATTGGGTGAGATGGTCAGAGAGCCTAGAAAAATCTTTCTTCACAAACATCTGTTCTCTTTTTCGCTAACTCTCACCTTTTGATAAAGTTTATTTGATAATGTATTTGAACAATAATTTATTGGGATACGTTGACTCAAGTAAAAAAGGATTTAAGTTTTTTTTTTTTTCTTACTAATGTTCACACAGCACCCCATATTGACAGAAAAATACAGAAATGTTGACGTTTAGGGCCTACTCACACTATGCTATCTGAACCATGCCCATCTTTTGAGAAGTGTGAGTGCTCTAAATCGGGCTCAGGGATGGTTCACTTGGCCGGCCCTGGCCAGGTTGGAAGAGATGTGCCAGAGCGCGGTTCACTTGGGCTTTGGCGCGGTATGTTTGTAGTGTGAGTGCAAAACATGACTAAGCCCGAAACTGAAAGCGAAACGTGACTTTTAAGGGGCTGTTTCATATAGATTAATGAATCATTCTTACTGTTCAATAAATGCAAACTGTCGTAGTTTATTAAAGATGCAAACCCCTCACTGCACAACAGCTGCACCTTCAGCAAACCTCCTAATTCATGCAGCATTAGACCTTTATGATTGTTTATGAGCGTCAAAAGTGGCGGATCTGTTCGGCAAAATATTTAACTGTGTGTCACTGCATCGTAAACGACTAAAACAATATAACTAAAGAAATCTCCACAGTGCTGAGCAAAAGCGATTCTGACCAGCGCATCATCGATGGCGTAAGCGTGCCCAGGCCCGAATGTAATGTAAGTGCAGGCCGTCGGGGGAGACGCAAAGGGGGAAAGCGTGCTTTGGCCCGGTTTAAGGCAACCGTATATAGTGAGACTACGCCCTTATTATAAAAGAAAAACTGCAATATCACATACACCCAATACCTAAACCCAGTAAGTAAACTACCTTACTAACTATTAACAAAGACTATGGAATACACAACTCATGTCACTCGTATCTTTTTGAATGAGAAAAAGTGTAACTGCCAATATGGTGAATACAGCCCCGCCTACTAGTACTGGAACCAATCATTGATCGCTATTTGGTGAAAAAAGCCCGCCTTCTAGTAAAGGAGCCAATCATCAATCGTTATAGACTGATGATACTCTGGAGGACAGGCTTAGACCAGACGTGATTTGGATGTTTAGAAATGAAATTAAAGAGACAGTTGTTGTGTTATTGGTGATTCCTAATATGCAATTGAATTAGCTTGGCA